CATCGACAGCATGACATCAGTGTTCAACATCGATGCTTCACTGCCGTATCTTGCAAGCAAGGAAACAACGATCTCATTGGTTCTAGCTAAGATAGTCGCTGGAATTTTGCCAGAACCTATTGATTTTGTCCAGGGTTAACTGTGTAGATGGAAGATTTTATGGAGCAAAAGTCGAGCATGATATATATATATATATATATGGCGTAGTGATTATCCGATACGGTAGTCATCTATGGTGGCATCGTCTTTGGTCACCTCTAGACACCTAGATATTCATTGCTCGCCATTCACGGTTTTATCCTTTTCCTCGGGAACACAACTGACTTCGCCACTATCAGGTACTATCGTTTCCATCTTACCTAATCATCTTTCTGTCCTCTTGTCCGGCTTTCCCACATGTACATTCTGCTTATACCATCAATCATGAGGTCGTCGGAAACTCCAGGGTTCACTGCCAGTTCTGCAAATCAGAATCGCGCAGCCCTGCATGACCCGTGAATTTGAGCTGGTGTGTGAGAAATCCGGTCCCACAGGCTTGTCTGACATTGACATCACTTTTTTGGTTACGTGACCCATTGATCCATGTACCCCGCGCTCAGCCTCCTTCCCATTCTTTTTCTTTCACCAAAGATTATGGTTTCGTTTAAGCTCCGTCTAGGCCTCTAAGCTTACGAGGTTACTTGCCCCGGAACAGCATTCCCAATACTGCTTGTAACAACAAAGGTTGCTTTGAAAGTTTCAAGGTGGAAGACCGCTGGTCTGACTTAAAAGACTCTCAAACAAGTCCTCTAAATCCATGAGACCTTTTAAGCGTCAATTAGTAGAAAAAATTAGCAACGAATGACGCCTCAATCAAAATAGGGTTAGATTGCAACCTAGGGAAGTTGAGAATACCTAGTTGGGGTGGACGCTGAGAAAAGACGTCTGCAGGGACACAGTACTCAACGTCCGTGCTGACAAGTCAAGCTGTCTGGATTTAGGTGACGCAACGATTCGTTCCGTACACTTTATCAACATAACCTAAATTATTTGATAACTAATCCAAAGTCTCTGAACAAACTTTCTACTTCAAGGCAGTGCACCCTATCCGGTTGGTTAAGTTTCGCTAGGTTACGACGTAGGACTTCCTAGCAGACCTTTGAATATGGTCGTTTGACGTCATCGTTATTCATATGCTAAAACCTTGTCATTCGATAGGTGAACATTCCAATGAATTGAGGTACAGCATAGATACACTTGGGAAGAAGTGAGATTCACAAGTTCGCAGAATGATCATATTGATGAACTGATCAAGACATTTCACAGAAACACGTGCTATTCAAACAATATAAGGTGCAGATCAAGTCGTTTCCGTTTAAAAAATATCTCATCTTTGTTAACCTGAGTAATGGCAGTGGGGACGGGTAAGAAAGAGTTCCGTAGAGTAATCGGGCTAGGATTACTTCCGAGCGCACAGTCACTTTTCACACCACCAAACGATGTAAAAAAGGAAAGCAATAGACGTATGAGCGGCAAAGGAAGAGAAAAAGCTATACCATCCACAAAGGATGCAGAGTAAAAAAGGTAGAGAGACCGTTACTATGATCATAAGGGCAAAAGTGAGTTACTAAATGATAAAAAGGAGTTCAGTCTCTAGTTAGGAATCGCCATCAATGTTTCGTATATTGCATTCGCAACGTATTCAACGTTTTTGGTTGTCAGGCCACAAATGTTGATCCGCCCGTCATTCAGCAAGTAAATGTGATGCTTTGTGCGCATGTGTTCTGCTTGGGCAGCTGAAAGTGGGGAACATGAAAAAGTGGAAATGTCTTTGTAATAAATCCATTCAAGCAACAACAGCAATTTACAATCAACGAGTGAAATCAGCAATTGACACCATCTGTTGTCGCAAAACAGAATTGCGATGACAGAGGTGAGGAATCTCAAATGTGGTTGTTCCACCTCTAAAGTAAGTAAGTCGTTCAGCTGTAGCACCCTTTCGGTGCCTAGCTGCCATGCCACACGAAGGAGGCACGAGGGCTGGGATACTGTCAGGTCGCCCAAGCCTAGACAGGGGAAGTCGAGTGGCAGAGGTCGGGTTCGAACCACGGACCTTCCGGTCAGTAAATTCGCGCTCTAACCACTTGGGCCATCTCGCCCCACCCTCCACCTCTAAACACGACAACGTTAGCTGTCATCCAGCCCACAGTGGAATAGAAGGTGGGCTGCACGGCCGTGAGAGCCCTGTAAGAAGGTATAAATATACGGAGTACAGCTAGCTGCGTAACATCTTCAACGTAGGTGCGACTGCTTGAAAAGAGAGGGACGAGCAAGCCTAGTACATAAACGTGAAACGACCACACGACAGGTGATTCCTATTCATCCGCGAACAACACGTAGTCATCATTTTCATAAGGGAAACTACTCACGAGGTTGCTGAAAACCCTTCGACAGCAACCTTGTGAGTAGTTTCCTTTATGAAAATATACTGCGATATCTCGAATATCGTGCCAACTGAAACATGAGGCGGCCTGTGTGCAGCACTTTCAGTTGTAGACTATCATAAACGAGAGATTCGGTTGAGTCTCTCGTGAAAACCAAATTGATGTGCAAATGAGTGTTTTCTCGAAAACACGTAGTCATCATTTTTAGGGTAGTTTTTGGTTGACCGATAGGTAATCGGTAAGTGAAACAAGCAAATAACCAAACGGACGGCAGTCAACGTTTTATACAGAAAATTCGAGTATATATTCATTTAGCTGCAAAAATAAGTGCACAAAATCCCGGATTAGAGGTAGTAAGTGCGAAATTCAATGTAAGACAGCGCTTTCCGACCTTAGATTCTTGATAGTAGACGTGAACGAAGTGTACAACTTACCTGATAAGCCAGTATATGCAAACATTCCAATTTGATTGACTATGTGTTCCCAGGAGCCCGGAACCTTCAACGCTAGTAACCTTGTATAAAGCGCTTGCCGCATTTCCTTTATCCTGTTAGCCATGGTTGCCACGTCCGCTTTCCTATCGTGAAAGGAAATACACCAATTGGATGGATCTATTAGGCATTAGATTGGATTCACTGATGGCAACATTCAGAAACTGTTGAGAAAAAGGTAGAAAGACCGACCTCTTTACATTCATCTGCTGGACTCGTCATTTGTGGCTTGGCTATTGAAGATCCTATCGAATCTTCACCGACTAGTTGTATGATTGCCGCAATTTATCATGGAATAATGGCTGATCAATCCTCGAAAGCTTCGATTTATAAGTAAAACAGTGAAATATGGTTGACAGAGTTGAATCCGCTTGAGCGGTTAGAATGGGAAAGCAGTCCGTAACTTTCGAGTCACGCACATTCCACAGGAACGGAGCAACATATCTTTCGGAGAAAGTGATGTAGGTAACTTATTTGAAACAGAGATGCGCGCCTCTGATTGGTAACGTGGGGCGCTAAAAGAGGGTTTACCACACATCAGTTCTTTACGGTTAGAACAAGATGCATATGGCTATAACAAAGTTAAAATAAGCGTAGCACAGCACAGGCGACTGTTGTAGCACAACAGTAACGCATCGGTCGAAGAACAGAAGGATGATAGTTCCATTCAAACACCCAAAGGAACCAGTTCCTGAGACTCATACGCTCATACAGGCTCGTAAGCGGAAAACATCAGAGGGACGAAGGGGTTGATTTCCGGTAAAAGAGACTGCCTGGTCAGTTTTACACAATCGTAAAAAGTCTTTTTTCGTTTTTTTCCTTTGTTTGCCGGCCACCTTGCTTTGCCTCAGCGTGCAACTTATTTGCGCCTGCCAATGGATGACCAGATGAACGAAGGGCTCAGAAGCAGAGAAATGCTATTATTATGTCTGCAGAAAATATGAAATAAATGATGAGAGAGAACTGATTTGATGAAATAATTATACGGAAAGTGGAACGAACCAGGTTGAAATTTTCCGTCGAACCCAAACTGTTAATCTAGGAGCCAAGTGTCTTAAAAAAATTCGCGTTTATCTGGGGCAATAAAAGTCAATTGGGTCAGATCAACAGCAATACAATTTCTGAATTAGAAGGCACAATTCGAACTGTCCTTTGAGGATGAGAATGTGTTGTAAATTAGAAGAATGTTACTCATTCCGGTCGTTTCTCCCATCATCCAAAACTGCGGTTACAGTGCATGCAGTTTGCAGAGGTAAACTGTTAGATCAGCGCATTCACTGTAAGCGGTGATCGAAGGTGGTGTGTTCAGAGGTCGGGTGAACAGTTAAAAGTGGATTACTAGCTTGATGTGGGCCTTGATGATCAAAGATAAGTCGAGGCTAGCTGTTGACTTCGCGGCAACGCCTGGATACATCGGTCGAATAGATGTGAGGCAATAAAAAAAATGTACGGCTTACGTGGTGAATTTGGGCCAAGCACTAACCATGATTGCCGTTCGTTGGTAATGCCGCCGAATTCGTACGGAACGAACATGTAACAAGTTCGTCTGGACGGCATATCGTTGGTAGATAATGAATATACCGGTTAAATATTATTAAAAACAGGCAGCAATATGTCAGGCAGAACAAGCAGAGCTGAAAACATAATCCTTCGTTACTAGTCCATAGATGCCTTTTTGCCTAAAACACTTACGATGTTAAGTAGTATCAAGGTTATAAATCTTTGCTATATGGAGCTCTGGACTCACTCCTGTTCGAACTATACACGTGAACTCATCGACGTTATGTTATGTCCATCCTACACATGGAGGAGCGGTCAGATCAAATAACAACTTTTAAAACCATCGTGATTTGGTAGGTGTGCAATTTTGCCCACAAGTATAAGACGTTCGACCGTTTTGTTTGGTAGTTTTTGCTACTATTTTACCTTTGACCTTAATCGTACGTGACTGGCCGGAACCGCAGCGTCCATTCGCTCAGCCTCTCCAATGCACATTTCCAACAGAGTGTGACGGAATCAGAGTCCAAAAGAGTTACTGAAGTGCACAAATGTTTGAATGGCATCAGTCCATGTAGACTGAAAGCCCATTGAGATGCGATCGCACGGAAAGCTAAAGACGACAATACACATTCTGGTCCAATCATTCTTTATTGACCAGCAGGATGTGGCATCCGTTTCTGCTCGGGTCAACGTTATGTGCCTAATCGTTCAGTAGACAATTACACTGGGTAGAATAGTTCAACCTCCCCAAACCAACCTGTTCATGGCCTTTAATTTTATTCCTTACGACTACTAACCGGGAGCGTACAATCGCATTAAAATAAAGAACGATTCTACATACCACTGGGCACACAATTGCGGATCATTCAGTATGGTGTCTACAATTCGAGCACCATGCTGCGGCGGGTTTGACCACGTTTTCCGGACAAGAATGGTCAGCTGCGATTTGATGTTGGCCGTGTATTTTGCGTCATTAGTAATGAAAGCCAAATTTCCGACTCGTTCGTCTGGAAAGAGACAGAAAGTACGTGCAGTACACAGTGGGGACAAACATTAGCGGGTTAGAGGGCACAAGTTCAGTTACTCAAGAAGTTCTGGACACAAACACTGGAAACAGGGGATTGCGTGGTTGCCCGACTACGTCACGTCAGTGTTAATGACATATGAGGGCTGAACCAATTAATTAGACTGAGCTCATCTGTCCAATCCGTTAGGAATATTTGTAGTAGTAGTCGAAACTAGGTAAATAAGGACTTGATAATGATTTCTAGTGGTACTTCAAAGTTGTTGATGACAAAAAAACATTAACACCTGAAGAGAGTGTGTCAAGGATAGTTGGAAAATACATTTTATCAGTATCCGTAGCACTGATGGGATATCCTTAGGTTAGCAGCAATGTATTTCATCTTGGTCTCGTTAGGAACACAAATCAATCTTCTTTGGAGGTGGTACCCTGTTTCATTCACAGTAACTTCCACTCATAAAAAAAGGAATCATGGCAGTTTGATAGTACAGCCCTTTGTGTAATCACCTGATGACCTAGAGCGATTTTAACATCGGTAAATATGCATCGTGTTTGTCTAACTAGTCATAAATCTTCACATAGAACAAGTCTACAAAGAGGGAGGCGTCGACTGTAGTCGGATATTGGTAGTAGAGAAGGGAGCGAATTTACTGACCGGAAGGTCGGTAGGTCGAACCCGACCTCTGCCTCTCGACTTCCACTGTCTAGGCTTGGACAACCTGGCAGTATCTCAGCCCTCGTGCTTCCTTCTGATGGCATGGCAGTTAGACCCCGGAAGGGTGCTATAGCTGAACGATGTTTGTAAAATGTGACCACATTCACAAAAGCGGAGCTGATATGAGAACCTCTCTTTTTGTTGAGGTTTATCAGGTGGTCGCAAAAAGGGTAGGCTACGTAACGCTCCGTTATCGGTTTTAGACTTTTGACCGCAGAACTATGATTTCATCGACCTATGCAACACCTTACTGTGGAGGGGAGGGGAAGTGAGGGCCAAGAGGCATGTAAATCAGTCACTCAGTGGTTGGATAGCATTCAGTTCGTCCAAAGCAACAAATCCGAATTTGTCATGACTACCCACTGGCACCGGCTCTTGGCTTCAGTGGCACTGAAAAATGGCACATTACCGAAAGTATTAGTTAGCGATTGACCATAAGGATAACATTGGCTCACTGTGTCAGAAATAGCGGTAAACAATCAATAACCATGAGTGCCATCTCTCGGTCGCCACAGACAGTAACCAAATCTGAGAATGTTCGACCTAAAACACTATGTGATTCCAAGACGAGATTCACTAGGGGTCAAATAAACAACTCAACTGGCGTTCTTCTATCGATTGAAGTTGACAGACAGAAAAAACGCTTAAAATATTTATACAAAAGAGGACGGATGGTGTAATAGGGTGGCATGAGTGAGCCAAGACAATTCTGACTGGGACCACACACTCAGCAGTTTGTTACTGTCTACTTTTGGGGGATGCAGAAACAACGGAAAAAGCGTTCTTAATAGCACCGAGACCATAACTCCTCAATATTCTACTCCTACAAAGCTAGGATGAATCCGTTTTGAAGCCCAGCAGGACACAGGTTGCGTCATAGTTCTTCCCGGTTTGAAACAGAAACAAGCCATAAGTTATAAGGCACTAATCACAAAACGACTTCTAACACGCCTTTCAGCATGCTCTCAGTCGTATCATTTATATTCTCAGTACAGCTGCGATTTCACTGAATAGGATCCGGGATATACTTGGGCTGCTTCCATACAGACTGTACAGAGGATCAGCAACGCAAATACTCTACTCGGATCAAGCGCCAGCAGTCACTGTCTATCCATACAGCATTGTTCAAATCACTAGTTGTAACTTTACTCGACAAGCAGTCAAGCAGCATTAACTGAAGGAGCACGCGTCTGTTTCATCCCGGGCCGGAGAGTGAGACGTGTAGCCAAACACCAAAATGCGGTTGGTAAGCGGTACATGAGTTGAATTATCTTTAATCTGAAGCACGTTGTTCCGATTGTAACGCACAACTAAGCCCCCGGTTGCACAGACCAAACAAGCTGTTGAAACAAACAAGGAGCAAAATATTGTCACGTACACAGTTGCACAAATTAGAATAAACGTGTGCTATGGTCGGATAAACTGGAAGAGAAAGTCAATCGATGAACAAATCCGGTCATCACATTTCAAGTGATAAATGACGCGAAATGCCTCATTTTTGGTTGCCTAACCCACATACTCTTATTTTCTCTTTTCGGTATTAGTATCATCGCAACTGCAGACAAAGCGTTTTCTAACTAGCTTTCGCAGTGAAACCAGGCATGTTTCGTCCTTCCTCGTTTTCGTGCCCAGTGCTTTTCAACAACCTACAGACAATTAGTTGGATATGCTAGGTCTTTTCAAAGTGAAATCTACCAGATGCAAAACAAAAAGAAACAGATTCCATTTCAGCTCAGTTTCAAGATGATCCGAAAAATTTTCTTCGGCTGTTACACCAGTTTTTTTCACTGATTCACACGATCAGTTATACAAGTTCGTATGAAACCATGGTTTTGCCTACAGGACAGGCAAGTGACATGCACAATGACCGGAAACAACCTTAAGCTGAGACGAATTGAGCGAAAGACTGAGGTCAGCCGAAAAGTGAAAGAGAATATCGGGAATAGGGAATGACAGAACGATGTAGGCCACTGGAATCTGAATGACTGTGTTTTAGGGGTAATGCTAAGAGCAAAGCTGAGTAGATATTAGTAGTCGAAAACCCAAGAAATTTCGGTGCAAGGGAAACCAAAAGGATTGAACTCCCGCCGTTAATTTGTCGGGTCGCAAAAATGTCCTTCAGTGTATCAGGGTCATGGACTAGTAACTTTCTGTTACATGCCAAAACGGTGCTATGTGACTCTAGGGAACATCATTTGGTACTTGATAAAAGCACACCCGAATGAGGTGGAATCTTCGACTTTCACGGGTCCGTGATGCCTCCGACGGATCCTAAAAATTATCAGCTTGAATGTAACATGAATAAAATAATAAGAGTTCACCTGCAACACTGTGGATGCAGAGCTTATATGCCACTCGAAGGAAGCACGAGAGCAGAGGTACTCCCAAGTTGCTGGAGCCTGGGCAAGAACAGTCGACATGCTGAAGTCGGGTCCAAACCACGGATCTTTCTGTCAGTGAATTCGCGCCCTAACCACTGAGCTGTTTCAGGCCCAGAATGTAACACAGGCTGATGGAAACACAAATATCAACTTAGGAGAATGATGATTCATACTGACTGAAGGACAAAACTAGAAAAGCCGGAATGCATGTATCCGGTTCTCCTTATCAATTTCATGAGAACAAGAAGCGTCATAACAGGATCGATTGAATTCCGTTATTTCATCACTTGTTTACATAAGTTGAAATCAGAGTTGGGATAGGATAACGGACAGATGCTTTGACGGACAAAAACACAGATAAGGGAAAACATTACAGCCAGCAAGGGTCATCAGACCCTGGATCAACTTGGATAAAAGTACTACGGCTGTAGACACGAGTCGATGCCAGTCCTACCAAGTTAGGGCAAAACAGTGCTAGCCACAGACTCCACTTGTTTACAGCAGCATCCAATCAGTGCGGTTTCAGCAAACTGTGGTAGATGGCTGTTTTTTTAAACAGTTTATGACTGAACAGCAACCATAAGGCCATTTCCATAGATGAACCGACACATCTTACCCAAATTCTGCAAGTCAATAGGAACTTGATCAAACTTCAAAAAAACGACCAGCAATCAGTCAGGCCATCGGAATAAAGGCAGCAAAATTTAGCATCTACAGCCCGGCTACCATAGGGCGTTTAACCTAAGAAGTTATCGAATGATGAGTGTATACATACAGTCATCCACGCTGACGAAGAGCCAGCTGCCTCCTCTAACTGTCCTAGGATTCCGGTTGGGCAAACTTTTAGGAGGCTAAGTAGCAGAAACAAGGAACAAGGATAAGGGTTCTTTAGCCGCATTGCAACTGAAACCTTTGAAAGGACTTCGTTATTTATCCTCCTTTATTGAAGGGGAAAAAACAAAAAGACACTCGCGTTCTCTGTTTCGGGATAAAGCCGTACAAACAACACACACGCACAGAGGCTTCGGCAATGAGCTTTCCACTGAGCGTATAAACTAACTGACGATAACAAGATGTTACTCAGTTGGGGGGGGGGGCGCACTCGTAAGGTTACAGATGTGGGGTACCTGTGGGGGTGCTTACACTTCGCTGAGAGTGGATTATGTTAATTTTCAAAAACAGAGGACAAGGCACTGTGGTCTCAACTAATGCAGTCGTGGGCATGAGTTGCCCAGTTGACATACGTGTAGGCTGTTTGTTTTGCTAGCTATCGTTCTCGATTGTTTCCGCTTAAAAAAGTGCCCCTGGGTCATATAAAAACCAGGTAAAAACAATAACCTCATTCTCAGGTTATTCGCTGGGGATCCTTTCAAAAGACAACCCGCAATAATGTACCTGGATTACTGGAACGTATTCGATCTGTTAACATCCTGGGGTGAGGTGTTCCCTAACCGCTGTTTAGAAGTGGATAAGCATTAGGAACATGTGATTGTAGGTTGAAGCACATGGGATAATGGTGGATCACTCCAAGCATCGTAAGTTTCACCTTTCAACTGGTCTGAAACTAGAGTAGAGTCCGGAAATTAGGGCGGTCAACCTTAGGCCCAGTTCATCAAAGGTTATGCAAGAGTTTAAGGCAGATGCTAAACTTTCGGCAAACATACTACTTTTGAGTACTAAATAATCAGAGAGAAGCATGAGCAAGTGTTGGTGGTTCGGATTCATCAAATGGGTTTATCGGCAATTTTCCATAGCTTCGATCAACTAGATTGGAGCTGAAATTTCGGTACCCTGGTTCAGCGACAAACTCGCAGTACGAACAAATGTATGAATGACGGTTCATGAGAATGCTCGAAGCCAAATTGCTAAAGAACCCCCTATAGTTCGCTAGATAAAGGTGCTGTGACTGTAAGCGCAACTTGGACATGAAAGCATAATTTTGTTCGTGCAACACACCTTCCTCCAATACGCAAAAGATCTCACTAACCGTACAGTGAACTAAACACTTATAGGAGACGTAGTTGTTACGCTAAGGACTGCTGTTTCTTCCGTAAAGCCCAAGAAAGGCATCTCACGTGACGACAAGCAGGCTCTGCGGAAAAGAGGGCGTTTCTAGTCCGAAAACGGGATAGATTTTGACGATATGCTCCCTCGTGATGTTATCATACTTCTGTTGAAAAGGACATTACGGACCGATCCATCTAGTAACGTGATCCTTGGGCTTATGATCGTAGCAGATGCCCGGATCTGTGAAACCCTCCTGTATTAGTACAAAAGCACATTCCTCCAAAGTTTACAAAATATCAAAAGATCCAATAAACAGGATTTTTTGCAGTTCTCGTTAAGTCACCGTTGCATAAATTACACCTAGAAAGAGGCTGTGTGAAATCTCGGAAAACTCTGAAAAGCAAGTTGTAAATTTAGCTAGACAAGACAAC